CGTATGTAGTTGGCCAATTTAGACCAACCTTCTAGCTTCAGTGATTAGGTATGGATATCACCTACTCTCAACAAGCCTCCTGACTGTAGACGATAAGGATGGGTAGATTTTAGGATTTTAGATTTTGAGGATTTGTAAGATAAACTCCCCACAATCCTCAAGCTTTAGACGTTGAGCATCTTCAAGAAACATTCCTAGCTTAAAAAGCTGGAGATGCGTTAATCCTACTCTCAACAAGACTCCTAACTTTAGACATTTGGAATTGATAAAAACCACTCTCCATAAGTTCTTAGCATCATACGTTGGGTATGGGTATGACCTACTCTCAACATCCCATCGAAAGTCCATCTTGGCCCTGAATGTCCAGTGGATTGTATCTTAGTTTATTAGGAGCCATTTTCGTAAGCCATGATTTGTTTTTCGGTCTACTCTGATCCCTATTACAAGAAGACCTCTAGCTAGAGAAGAAGATAAGAAAGAATTTGAAAAGAAATTTTATTTCAAGAAAGAGTTTGATGGTTTTTAATGTGAAATCCTGTATTTAGATTTAGACGTGCAGAAAAAAATCACACACCAATATATATATGAGTAATAGGACGGACCGGTATTTTGTCTTTGTTTATGTAATTTTTAATATATCATGAGCCCTGCTAGAATAGAAAGACAGAAAGAAGGGATCTAGTTTAGAATTTATTTCATTTGATTGCATCTTAACAATACATGTATGCATATAGACTAAATTAGTTTTATTAAATTTACTTTATATTTATAAAATGTACATTTGAAAATCAAAGACGTACAATAGGCCTGTATTTCAAGACAAGACTAGTATTATGTTCATGGACCGTGAATTTTCAGGTATAATGCATGAAACAGGTTTTCTTAAACTTGCAACATACTGACATGTCCATGTTAATTTGTATTTTATACTTTTATCTTGATTTTTCAAGATTAATAATATATGTATACCAATTTGCCACATTAGACCATGCATGATATGAATAAAATATCAAAAGAAGATACAGGATATTTTAGGTATTTTGATGTCCCAAGACATTTGATATGATTTATATATATATTACATCACGTACAGCATCCGAAAGCGGACATTCCTTGGTATTTAAGTGACAATGCCTTTGACTGAACATTGACCGTTTTCTTCTTCCTGCGGGGGATAAACAATTTCTTCTTTACTTCTGTGTTGGGTTATTGCTCTTTGTTACATTTCGCTCAAATACGTCATAATGGACTGAATATACTCCGGGTGACTCACAACCAAATTACAGCCCCTGGCCAGATATTAACAGACCAAGCTATTTCTATAACTTATGATTGTCATTCTTTTCGTATTGATTTTGACGCCATTATCTTTCCTCTGCATCCACGCAGAATTAACTTATGCAATCAAGTGTTTTTATCATCAGCAAAAATCTGCTGGCAAATAATTCTAATGAAGTTAGTAATGTAATTATCATCTCAGACATGACATGAGGTTTGGGAATATTCAATATGACATATCTTCATTGCTCGATTATTCCATATTCTTTGCATGAAATACATTTATGCATGATCGCAGAATAATATGTTGTTATTTTTAAAAAAAGTTTTGAGAAATCAAATATATATGTATTTTTTTCCTAAAAGAAATGAACGTTATATATTTTAATTTATAATCTAATCGATAGGTGCAAAGACCATCAAAATATGCGAAAGAAGCATTTATTGATTCAGTCAAGTAACCAGGAACCTGTTTTACAGAAGAACTTACGATAAAGACCAAAAACTTAAGTAGATTGTAAAATTTTACAAAATTAATGATTCTGCTTGAAATTGCTAGAAAAAATATCTTTATAATTCTTTTTGAAAGTTTAAAACATTTTTCAAATTAATGTATAAAATAAGGGGTAATAAGCAGAAATAAATTTTGTTCTTAGTCGTAAGTTCTTTAGTAAAACAGGTTCCAGTTACATATTTAATATCTTTATGGGAAATAGAAAGACTTGGTAAATATTAACAATTGAACAAATTAATCAAGATATGAAAACATTCCGGCGGCAAACTTCAGTGAAGAGCCGGATTTCTTGTCTCTTGTGCTTTTACAATAATGGTATTACATCTCTGGAGCATCACTTGACCCTAGAGACATTCATCCTGAGTGGGTGCGAGAGCAATTTGTCTAAAGATAACGAATGGCCGGTGCGAAATGTTCGTTCGGGCAAAGTTCACGGTCAGTGTCTGACCGATGTTAATGTAGTCGTTAGACTGTGCTGTAATGGCTTGTTGTATGACTGTCTTTTAATTACCTGAATAATGTCCTTGTATAGGGGTCAAACAGCTTTTATTCGGAATACTATATCTAATAATTTGAATAATATCACAGTGCATATGGCATATACTTATTAAAATATTAAAGCAAATAATCTAAGAGATATGTCACTGATAGAATGCTACATCTAGTCATTGTGAAGGCTGACCCATTCCCAAGATGCATTCATAAAATACATGTGGATATGATGTGTGACAATTAGTTATCAACTAGAAAAGAAGCTAGATAAATATCATGATAGGTGTATAGACTTTCCTTCGCAGGTGTATTTTAGCATAATATTATGACATTAATATTAGAACCTTTTTAAAAAAGGTGAATAAAATGCATGTAACAGGAGCAGGAGTAAATATGTTTTATTAACGGATACTATGCTTTATGTGGGGGAATGCGTAAAATGCGAGAAACAATATCCGAAACGCGTGACCAAAAAAGGTCGCCGTAAATCAAACGCTTTTACAATTGATGGCTCTGTAACTCTCTGTTATGTCTGTCCGAATTATCTGCTCCATAGAGCTATAGTTCTGCAGCTAGAGCAAAAAAACATAATTATATAAAATGTACCTGAAAGGAAAAAAGTCTAAAGGCTGCGCATATATATTAAAAGTTATCCATTTGAAAGCTTGTTGACTGAGAGACATATTCCTTCATCTAAGCATCATGACATTTGTACCTTTGGCCAAACCGAGCTATTTGTCGTGATAAAAAAATCTCAAGATTCTAAACGGTTCACCATCATTTTGTCTTTCTACTTTGTTTTTTTCATATTAATTATTATTTTACTGTTTATTATCATTAAATTGAAATCTTTTAATGATTGTCATGTTTGATTTTTTTTTTTTACATTTCGCTATTAAGTAAACGACACAGTCTAGAGATTGAGATGACAAAGTGTGATAATAAAGGGCAGACAGACGGGCAGATAAAGCTCCTCATTTTGGAGAAATGTAAAAAAAAAAATGTGAATACGTGAAAAAAAAAGCTGTCGAAAAAAGACATTACTCTAGTTTCCAATTTGTTTGGTGATGTAATAGGTACTATAATAAGTAACTAATTGTAACTGAAAATAAAGTGTGATGATTGTCGAAACAATGCTATCAACAGACGCAGTTATTGTGTAAAATTGACAAATAGAACACCATAAGTGGGCTTCGTTAGTTCTCCATTGATTTATCTCTCATCAAAGCAAACCATTTAATTCTGGGTAAGTGGCTTTCCTTTATTGACGTGTCCCACACTTCACTTTCCTGTTGGTCCACATGAGGATCACTAGCGCCCTACAAATATTTACCTAGACTAGCAAAGTGGTCAATTCCACTGTCTGTGGAAGACCACAGCAAGCCCAGGGTTTTCTTATTGCGATCATAACTGGTACCCCTACAATAATGGGTGTGACGGGTCAAATGTCGATCGTAGAATGACACTTTAGAACTGTACTTTGCCTGTATGACTTTTAATTAAAGTATACTTATCTTAAAACCTGAAGAAACAGTTCGAGTGCGGAAACAGCTATTGAGGGCACTAAAGATTTGAAATGAATGAATTACAATCATATTTTAATGGGCAGTTTTGACATCATCGAGTTGTTGACCGCGGCTGGTACGGTTTCAAGTCTTTAAGGAAGAAACAAAAACACAAAATTATTCTTTAATTCCTCACCATTTCCTGTAAAAAATTTTCTGTGTATATTTACTAGATATACCAGTCCTACTTGTACTTTAATTGAATTTTATAACTCAAATCTAAAAATAATGTAATGAATGGAAATTACTTACTAGTATATAGTAGCATTGTTTTATTATTTATATATTTATTTATCTTTTTGTCATCTGTACTTTTGATTTTAAAAATACCTTCACGCAGACAAAATACAACTGACAGCACCCTATATCTATACATTCAGTTAATCTGTCGTGTGGATTACAGACTTGATTCTTTATTGATATATCGTCCTCTGAAGATTAACTGATTGCATGATAACCTAATTATGGACCAAAATGTTTGCGGTTGCGGTGCGGTTTGATGTCTTGTTATACCTGCGCGAAATCCCCACCCAGCTTATATTCCCTGGGAGTGTTGTATCGTATTGCTCTCGCTCAAGAAATTCTTAAAACGTGCGTTATTTGCTATTCTGTCATATTCTGTTTCGTTCTTCGCCTATAAACACCACATAACTATTTAACTGTATCGTATTAAATTATTCTTTTGTAGTTTGAGGGCGACAACAACGCACCTGATTGTGAATGTTATATTGATTCGGCTCTTTATCAAATATTGATTCCGTGGCAGATTTAATGTATATATTATCATGAATCATACATTAAAAGAAAAAAGCAATGTATTTATATATTGATTGCAATAATAGACACATTGAATTAACGTTATTGACAGCTGTTGGCTGTCATATTTATCTTCAAATCTTTTTCATGCTATTATATTTTAAAGGCTCGTCCTGATGTTAGTTTTTATTTGATGCATGTTAAGTCCTCTAGCAATAAAAAGGCTCAATCTGAACCAAGTTTTGCATTGTGCAAGCGATATCGATGCAAAATCCAATCAATGTAATTTACATAGTAATCAGGCTGGTTACAGTACATGTAACATTGCCATTATCTCGTTTCCATCTTACAACGTTTAATATCAGTCAAGATATTACAGGGCGATTCCGAGACTTTGTTAGATATTTTAATAACCTCGACTACGGTTCAGTAGATTCATTTGGGTTTTTGTTCCTACGGGATTTGTGAATCGATATTGTGATTGAACTGTTCGATCAAACGCGCCTGTATCGACCATATGTTTCTGATGAAGAGGAGTAGCATGTGAAAACAAAGAAGGATGTTCGGAAAAGATATTCCCCCAGTACAAGTGCTAATCAAAACCACGTGCTGACAGTAGCATCCAAAATTACCCACCATTCTCCTCAGAATCCTGTGACTCATCATGATCTTCCATGCTCTTTGAAAACATTGATAGACAAGGCATTTGTCTGGAAACATAACCTCTAGCAAGGGAATCGCTCAACTCCGATGCACAGGAACTTTTTCAAATAAGCCTGGATATTGATTATTATAGGATATTTTCTATGTATATTGAGGATAGTCAAAGGAATATACGGAAAATAGCCGGTGTATCACATATATTTCTCTTATGATGAAAAGATGTTTACAGAAACCCGGAACAGTTTTTGTCCGATTAACCAAGGCGAAAAGGATATACGTATGAGCGGTTTCTTTGTTTACATTTGTAGAGGATGATCGCCTCCGGAGGAAGGATGAAGCATCACTGAATGTCTTCATTGTAGATATGAATTAATTAGCTGTTTATTAGGAGGTGTGAATAATCTTGTGACTTTTGTCTTAAGACTTAGACCTTATCTTCGTTATATTGTGAAGGACTCAGTAATTTATGCTCGAGGGATTAGATTAGGTAAGCGGAGGGTTCAAGCAAGGTGCGCCCCACGGTGTGCAGGAAACGGTGAGGTTATTTAAGTCGTTTTTTGTGTGAATCAGTAACACTTGACCTGAAATATACGGCGATTCTTTTTCTAATAAAAGAAATCAAAATGTAATTGGACCAGATGCTCAGCGAATGATAAATTAGACTAACGGCTGGATTCTGAAGACGGCGCGCTGGCTATTATTGGGGTTTGTTTCTTCTCAGAGGAAAACAGACAGTCAGAGGGTAATAATAGACGCTAAAACAATTGATGCCTACATAACCGAACCACATTTAATATATGGTTAATTTATGAAACAGTGAATGTGCCGTAATACACATGGAGGCTGATCGGGAAATGTACAAGCAGATCCCTGGCGTGTGTTACTGTGGGCACTACACAGGCGTGGAGGGTGCGGGAGAAACGTCTATCAAAAGGAGGAATATAGGTTCTAATAATGGACATGTGCCTTCACGTCAAACAATGAAGACTTCCTTAATCTTTGTGATATACATAGTGTTTTTAGTAACAGATTCGGTGTTAGGATCGCCAGTTTCAGGAGGTTCTAATCTAGATGCAGATGCTTTTGTAAGTAATTCTTATATCGTCTGTTTTGTTTCTTATAGCAGACGAGAGCTGGTCGCTATTAACATGATTAACCTTGATATATATACGGAGTGAATCATTAAATCTACCTTCATTCAGGATTTCTGTATGTAGGTGTTATTGACCATGTTTACTTAGTATATATGTTTATACGCTTAAATGATTTTTATAACAACAAACTTCGTTAAACTGAAAGGAATGTTTTTACATGTGTCTGTAAACAATGTAGTTGTGTTTTGAAATGTAATACTTCAAACGTGTCCAAAGGGATAGCTTATCGTAACTCAAAGGGGGCCTATAAACGGCGAACTTACTATAGGACATGTATATTAATAAGAAGTTCATACAAGTAATCTCAATTTATTCAAACTAGTTACAATTTCTTCCTCGCCATTCGAGATAAACAAGTATATTTTTCATGGAAAAAAAACCCTGAATCCCCTCTTTTTTCCAAAAGAGGACGCGATGAGATGGAGTTACAAGTGCTGTTATGGCATCTTCCTTCTTGAGACGTAAGAGATGACACTCATGTGTGAGATGTTTATCAGTATCTTCAGAACATATGGCTGTGTGTAAAATAGATTATGTCATAGATACAATCTACAGATGACAGACCGACTGCATGTATTCATATTTACAGTGTATAGTCATCTTACTCCGAGATTCTTCTTACGTAATGTCAATCTTGCATAAAAAATACAAGTATTTGCTAAGTTTTCCTGGGTGTAAAGAATCTTTAAACCCGAGGGTAAAATTTCTGCAAAACAATTTTGCATCATCACACATAATAAATTCCCTCATAAATGAATGGTGATTTTTATTCTGTCTATCGATTTTATGGTATGAAATGACCAAAGCCCTGTGATCATGCAGGGCACATTAGATATTGTAATTGCTTCACAATGTGTGACATATATTGACGTGTTAAACTAGCACATGCCAGCATTCACTTGATTATTTGTTAATAAGATGTTTTTGAGTCAAATAGATGAAGTGATAGGTCACATTAAATTAATCGTGATGGTTAGGTTTTTAGTGTATCACTATCACACAAACCTTTGGAGAGTGAAACGCCGTATACTCATCAGTTTGTGATTCACAGAGAAAACAGCTGATATTATTTTAAGAAAAAAAAAATCGTTATACATTGCGTTGTTTTTCCTTTAATCCCTCATGTTTTAAGTAATATAAAGGCAATAAATACAGGTACCATTACTCAAGCAAATTAAGGGTTTTGATCAATTGATTAAATTCAGCACGGCGTCTGAAAAATGTCCCGAGTGACGGACTTTATGCTTCATCTCTAGAAACGAAGTGATGCGGGTATAACTTTGAAATATATACGATTAAAGTAAGAGGAAAGAATTTAAAAGCGTAATAGTAATTTAAAACTTCTGTTATGATTTAATTTGGAATGACAAAATTCTATAAAAAGTTATTATAATTATGAATTCTGTCGAAGATTATGCCAGACGATGGGTCAAATATGAATATGAAGACCTTGACATTTTGTCAGAATGTATTAAAAAGTATCAGACTGTTGAAATCTCGCGTTAAACGGTTCAGGGGCAATATGAAAATAATCTATCCTTCTGTCTTCAATAATTCAGGTGAAAAAGAAAAAAAAAAGATTACACGATTATTATATACTGGTCCCAGCTGACAAAGCAGGTGACATTACATTGTCTTTGTAGGACTCATTATTATAATTGCATTTTAGAGGAACTTGGATTAAATTCTTCAAATGGTAATCCAACGTATATTTATAGTTCCCTCTTAAGGATGAAATTCTTCAAAATCATGTGTCATTATTCCCTACAACTAAATTGATTTTGAATCATCATACCAACATGTATACTGGATTTCTAAATTCATAAAAATCCTTGCAAAGAGATACTGAACGGTTTCTAGTTAATTTTCTACCAAGACTCTTTACTTCTCACGGAAATATTAACAGCAGTGAAGGAGAAACTTCAGGAGTGCTGTACAACAAAACATATGAGAAGTGGTGTTAATCAGATGTGGATACTTAAAAACTCCAAGGAACTTTTAGAAAAGTTGAAATCACAAAATAATACCAAAATCAATAGCATCAAAACGTTTGACTTTCAATCATGTCAACAAATTTATACAAACATTAAAGACTAGCTTTTTTGACATCGTAGACAATAAGTTAACGCTTTTAAACTTGTAAATTTGCACACCTTGTCATCGGTTATCTGCAACTTATTTTGTTAAAAATATTCTAATTCTACACACAAGTATTCCGAGGTTGATATAAAAAGATGCTTGAGTTTCTCATTGACGATATTTTTTTGTAGTTTTTGGAGACAAGGTCTTCCAACAATCTGTTGGAATTGTCAAGATGACCTGTTTTTATATTAATATGAAGCAGAATTTATTCAAAAACTTCTACACGAAAAGAAGTCTCTTGCTGTGGCCTTCAATTCGACATATAGATATATCGACGATGTTTTCTCAATTAACAATATTCATTTTCATTCCTCGTTGATTCGATATATCCCACTGAACTCGGAAGTAAAAGATACCAGAGTCTGACGCATCTGTTTCATATTTCGATGTTATTAAAATAGAGAAAGACAGTGATGGCAAACTGTTGATTCGATAGGCAAGAGCACATTCTACGTATACGTTCGAGCAAATATCTAAACGAGGCAGGTTATTGACAAATAAGTTGATGATACAAGGATATCAACAATCTCGTTTATAGCCAACATTTCGCAAATTCTGTGGTGGATACAATGGCCTTGTTTACAAATACATTTTGTAGTTAAGTCGAATGTTGACTGATATCTTTCATACACATTTTAAGCCATTATTTTCACGCTGAATATGTCAAGGAATTTTTTCGTTTAACCGATCAAGACAAGAAGCATATGTTGGGTGTGACAGGGGATGCTTACTCCTCCATGGCACCTGATCCTACCTCTGTTTTAAGAAGTCCATTTTGGCTCTGTTCATAACTTGTATTGTTTAGAGGTCTTTGAGAATTATCACTGTTCTTCGTATTTCACTTTTAATAATAAAAGAGATCATTTATATATTTTAGGATCATACTCTAATGATATACAGTAACTTTATTTTTCAAAAGAAAATACTCGGGGTCATAAATTGGACAACTACAGTTGTGTTGAGTCAAACATTGTCTCTTGAAAAAGAAAAGTTTTTTATAAGCATGATAAGATAAATAAATAAAACGATTTACATTGTAATTTGATACGAATTTGTTGGACCTTAGCTCAGTGAGGGGCATGACACCGAGTGTACAAAGTGAGTGACATTTCTTTAATAGATCAAAGTGTGATGATTAAGATGAGCGATATGACCCATGGACTTGCTGTATAATTGAATGGCCCTCTTACATGTAGTTTTAACATTATATAAAGGTCATAGTTTGTAAATTACTTTTCTGGTTTTATTGTTCATGTAGGTCTGCTAGTATCATGTAATTTAGATATGTATATCAGTATTTCAAACAGTTAAAAAATGAAAGAAAAAACGCAAAGTACATATGAAACAAAGTTTAAGAAGACTTGATGACGATATAAGTAAATTGATATCGGCTGTATCTCATCTTAGTAATTATTACATCCCGTATTAGAAACGTTCTCACACACATGAAAAAACTTGAAATTTTGTTTACCCGCCAGATTTTTCATATCCTCACTTGATTTCTAATTCAATCGTAAAATACCCCCGCGAAGAAATGGCGTTCATAATGTTTATGTTTTGCATACGTCAGTTGTTAGTGGACCACAGCAATTAAACTAAATATCGTCATACACTTTGAGAAACTGAAATGAAATTTAAATAAACAATTTTGTGAAATATTATTAATAATATTATGTCAATGTTTACTACCTTTAGAGATACCTTGGAAAGTTTGGTTACATATCTTCAGCTCAAGCAGAGAAAGGTGCTCAAAACCTTATTTCCATGGACATCACGGAGTCTATAAAGAAATTACAAAGGATGGGTGGGATACCACCGACAGGCGTGCTCGATGTTCGAACTCAGGAGCTCATGCATAAACCGCGGTGTGGTAACAAAGATCCAGTGGAAGAAGAGGGGGCCCGGAAAAAGAGATACGTGCTGGCGCCTTCTAAATGGGACCATAAGGATCTAACATACAGGTTAGTAATACAAGTATGAGGGAATAAATAAAGTCAAAAGAATTACAGCGCTTATTACAAAGTGGTGGTCTGTATGTGCAACAAAGTATGTGTGTCAACAACTTTAATTTTGCTAAAATATGCTAGCCAAAGTGGTTACGTGCATGTGTACGGATTAAGAATCACAACAAAGGGCCAAATTATGAGACATGGTAAAAAGAATAAAAATATCCATGATTTACCATTTCTAAGACACACCCACAGTAAAGGAATATTCATATCTAGATCAGCAGGTTTGATATAATTCTCAGTGTGCTTCTGCAAAAACAATAAATTTTTAGCATATTAAAATCTCCCCTTGATATGCCCCCGTTTTTAATACCGGACATGTGTTCTAAATTTAAGGACTTCTTCAAGTTGAAACCAGACCTACCATTACTCACGAAATCATATGACATCTGTAATAAGTGTGAGAAAAGCGCCATTTCTCTGCTAGGGTTTGATCTTGTTTGGCTGGTAAACAGTAGCTCTGTGGCTGTCTTATCTCACCAACAGTTATTTTTCTGCATATTAGAGTTTGCAATGGATTGCAAGATAAATGTAAGCTGGTACATAGGGTGAGAGATACGAATGTAAGTAGCGCAGTGGCCAGTACTTTCCAGAGGAAATTTTCAGCTGTGCTCCGTCACCATCTTTGAGATTTTTCTTTAGAACTACATGTTGAGGTTAGTGATGACCATTAACATTGAGCCACGTGACCTTGTTCGGCCTGGTTGTTATGTGGTTATGTGACATCACAACCTGCATGAATGAGGGCATATGGTTCAGCAATCTACCGATCTATTGATGAGATGTGCTGAAAATGGTTTCTTTTATTCTTCATTCGGCGGACTGTATTCTATTAACTATTGGAAAATTTGTTGATTGGAAGCTAGAAATATTGAGTCATAGCTAATCGGTTATTGTGTTTTTTCTGCAGTGAACTACTCTCTGCATCACGATTCTTTTGTCCCCGCCAAGATCTAAGAGATACACGCTTCATCAATTCTAACACTAGTCGCTGAAGCAGTGAGTCACCGACACACAACACCTACAAACAACTAAAGCAAAATTCATAGCTATATCTCAATTTGTCGAAGTACTTTTTTCCCTAATATTTTATGGTGAACGTAGACAGGTTTCCGTGCTACTTGTACGAATTGACTGCCTCCCTAAGGACAAACACATGTTCCTTACCACAAGGGTAAAAAATAACACAACTATGCAGTCAGGCCGTTGTCTTGACAACCCGATCAGAGTTATGCACTTTTCATGCTCTAAATTAAAATATATACATGTATATATATATATACAAGTATTTCAACATTTCAGTAAGACTCTTATGTCAGATTGTCAAGTACAGACCTGATTTTAACAACACAATGTTTATGAATGGGAAAATAGGAAACATTAAGGCAGACTATCGTTAGGGAAGAAGTGAGTAAGGTTCCTAAAAAGTATACGTCTCATCATAAATTTCAAGAGAGATTTTGAGTACAACGTATCATAATTCAGGGGAGGGGGGATTATGTAAACAAATTATATAACAACGTTCACAGATGCCCCTTTCATCCCATCATTCGTTCTACAAGAGATTATGCGTAACTGGAATTTAAATGTAGTTTTAGTGAATATGATGTGTGCAATACTTAGATGTTTAGAGACATAATAATAAGACGGTGTTCTATAAATTATAATCTCTCCATTGCAGTGATTAGCTTGCCAATTCAGCCCATGTTAGATATCACCTTGAACAAACTATTTTTATATCTTAAAGCAAATTCTGTGTTCTTTCCAAATGTCAAAGATTGTTATCTGTGGTATCGGTGATAAACTATTCTAGCACGCCTGGTTCCTATATTGAGTTCATATAGAATGACCAGTTATTTCATTACGAGTTGCTTTAATTTGTATTCCGACATAGTGGTATTTAGCCATTGCAAATGCATGCTCATATCGAACCTTATTCTCTATATAGAGGTAATAAATCCGAATTCCTTATTTCAAATCAGACGAAGAAACAGGTTTCTCACGAAAATGCATAGCATAGTACATCTGTTGTCAAGTACTTGGTCTGGGAGGACAATGAAAAAAAATTTGAAATTTTCAAAAATAATTAAAGCAGGTTTCGTGAAAATCTGATTCATTTGGGAATATCCGGAATTACAGTTCTTTATTTTGCTAAGGGATAATATTAAGGGAACGTTATCCACATTTGGTATATAAGCTATTCGCTTTTTTTCCCAAAAGTTGTTCATGGATGACAAAGAAAACACTTATCAGACTAAGGTCTACGATTCTGGTTGTAGGAAATGATTCATTCTTGCAATTAAGAAAAGCACTTTAAAGATGAAACAATTAAATAGGTCTTAATACAGGAACTAAAACACTTATTGTATAATGATATCAGCATTTATCATTATTGAAGAGATAAAAGATAATGAGAATTTAGTCATTTCAAAAATGGAGCCTTATTTACATCGGATGCTAGTAATTAAAAGAAAGCATTTCGTGTTTATAAAGTGTACTATAGATAAGTTCTGCAAGGTCCTGCAGGCAAATATGTCATCACCCTGATAGCAAGAGGCGCCAGGAGTCCGAAGCCGGAAAACCATAGGCTGCCAGGGGCCGTGGAGAACAAATTGGTGTATGCCAAATATAATCACCCCTAGTTTTAGTTTCTATCTAGATTGTCTCGGTAGTCCTTTGGCTTATAATTGTTTGGCTTCCTGTCTAAAACCAGAAAAAAGAGAGTGGATTACATTTTGTAGGAAATCACGTTTTATCGTTCGATCTATAGCAAACATCGAAACACTCTCTGGTAGTCATTTCTGAGTCATGCAGACTTGAGGATATCTTTTGCATGTTGCTTTATTGCCTATAATGGCTTGTCTATGTGGAATCGGATGATATAAATTCAGTCATTATTGTCAATGGTTTTGAGAAACAGAAACTTTCGACTTCTTTTTGGAGACTCAGTCAAGATTAAAGTTGACATTACTATGGTGGTTCCTTGCAAATGCAACAGGAGCAGATCGCCTGTTACGTATACGATAGAAAATAAAATGTAAGCTAAGGATCCATAGCTCTGAGATTGCACTAGGTAGCACGCCCAATCACAATTAGTAAAGTGACACTTTTAGAAGCACGTTTCGTGTCGTATGGAATTAACCACAAAATGCGATGTCAAACTTTATTTCCGGTAGAGGCTGACCTTTGGTATCGTTAGTGGATTCATTACCCAGGTGCTGAGGGGTCTTCTACCTGCTTCATTAAGTTTGATATTTCTTGGTTATAAATCACTTTCTCAGAGAACCTGACGCTGGCGATAATGTCAACATCTGTGTTCTGTGTAATCAACTTGTAACTGATTCTAAGGGTAGGAACTCAAGTTAACTCTATGGTACATTTGTCTGTAATGGTACTAGTAATTTATACACCCTATGTTACGAAGGAAACGTGTATCGTTGCAGTTAAAATGTTAAGACACCATGAAGTATTTTTTGCAGTAATGTAGCTGAAAGGCAATAATTATAATAGTGTCTCTAAATTATATTTTAGAATTGAGAACTACACGCCAGACCTACAGTGGCAGGATGTCCGTCGAGTCATTGCAGACGCTTTTAAAGTTTGGAGTGACGTCACTGACCTAACGTTTACAGAGGTCATGAATACAAATGCAGATATCATGATAAAATTTGCTAGAAAATATCATAAAGATGGTTATCCATTTGATGGAAAAGGTAATTGACAGAAGTCTAAACGGCACAAATACACTTTTTTGCTTTTGTTATTTATTAGATTTAGCAGACGTTATTCCTTTTTCTATAAGAAATTGCTTTGGGTTTGGTAACCAGAATTAACGTCGAATTGAATTATAGGAAAAATAATTTTTTTTCTTCTAAAAAACGAAGTAATTTTGCTGTTGGACTTGTCTTCTTTTGCTTTGAAATATTATGGGTCATTTTGTCCATAAAAGAATTTATGATGAAAAGGATTGATTGCTTCAGTTGATTTGAAACACTATTTGTTTCCACACATAGAAACGTGTCACACAATCCATAACAAGGCTCCGGGGTTGTATGACAAAAACTAATCAAAAAGAAAACATAAAAGTAACTTAAACAGATTGAAGACATGAAGATTATAACCATAGCGGCCTCTAGGTCAATAATTCACGAGGAATTGAACGTGAAAGAGAGAGAGAGAGCAACACGTTGCTCGCCGTACCAGATGTTCTTTTGAGGTTCGTTTCATATACTTTGGATCCACGCACAACTGAGTGCATGCAGTAGCTTTGAGATCACTGTTTTGTTTGTCGGGAAGCCGTTACACAGAGGAACACACTATCAGCAAATTGCTTTTTTTAACCATGAACTAAAGCCTATCTACTGTGTATGAAAACAAGCAATCAAGCATAGAGCCAATAACCATAGTAAATCAATGATGAGTGTACATATATGTATCTAATACAGAAAATTATACGTTTCTGGGGAGAAAATTACTACTACACACTTCTTCATGAAACTAAATATATCTAATATACTAGTATCTCATAAACGAAATAAATATTGGGAGAACACGGGCGAAACACATTTAAAATTAAATGCAATTTAAACACGGTTTAAGCTATGTAAGCAATAATGAGATGCTTTAAATACAGGGAAAATTGTTTTCCTTCAAATTTCGGTAAAAAGAACATAATTACGTAGTTTGGAAGTATGCAATATTGAAAGGAGATACAATCGGCCCTGTCTTAATTTATGTGCTGCCCGGGGTAGACATTTTAACTAAGGTTTACACTAATCTCTCCATTTGCGGATCCATCTTTTTTTCCATAGGGGTTCCATACCCCCTACAAATCCAACTCAGATTTTTTTTTGACAAGCAAAAAGAAGAAAAAAAACCCAAAGTAATCAACTTGTCTAACCCGAAAGCATATTTCTTGGGGGAGGGGGTCCTTGTTTTTTAAGAAGAAGGGTTCAAGATTATCTTTTCCTTACTTTACAAATTTGAAAACTCTGAAAATCCCCCGGGGGAGGGAGGGTGGGTTTCGGTCACCCTCCACCCCGTTGGTTCCGCGCATGCTCTCTACAGGTCTTATTCTTTGCTATATGTACCTTACAAATTACATCAATCTATCTTTAGGTCTCATTCTGGCTCATGCTTTCTTTCCTGGAAAAGACAAAGGGGGTGACACTCATTTCGATGAAGATGAAAAGTGGACGATCAATTCAAATGAGGAAGGTAATTGACTGTTATGGTTTTTCCAAAAAGTTATACTTCCATAAGAAAGGGAAATATTTGTTATCTTCTGACTGGAAAGGGACATCCTTTTCCTACAAAAAGGAAAATCATCTTACAAAAGTGTTCACTTACATTTTCTGTTGCTATTTTTAGGTGTAGACCTATTTATGGTAGCTGCTCACGAATTTGGGCATGCTCTGGGACTGAGCCACAGCAACGAGCCCAAAGCCCTTATGTATCCTTGGTATCAGGGATACATTCCAAACTTTCAACTTCCATACGATGATACCTTAGGAATTCAACTTATATATGGTATATAGAAAAACTCGAATATACACAAGACATTCAAAAAGACAAAAGAGATCTTACCGCTGTTCAATGAAGTCATTTAAGGGGTGTTCAAATAAAAATCTTTTGAGTTTTATATATGAAATTTTTGAAGAAATTGAACAGTTGAAGTTTTTTTCTTAGGTGGTAAGGGACCTTACGTGACTTTCCGACCTCCACCAACCACCAGGCGTCCTGATACAAGGGAGGGATATAGCACACTCGCCCCTCCCCGTCAAGCCCCAATAGACCCATGTAAGGGAAATTTTGACGCCATAGCAGTTATACGTTCTGAAGTCTTCATTTTTATCGGAAAGGTATGCAAGTTATATAAAGGAATAATTATAGGTATATCTGCAAGAATATGCAAATTTGACAGCAAGCCTAGGTTTACTATAAATTAATAAATGTTGAAGTCATCGACTTAAATTTAGAGAAGACAGGGTGTTTCATTTATCTACATATATGTGTACATATTAAATTGTCAGAAAGGAAATAGTGACTCAGGTATAGGCGTTGTGAACCCTGGTCCCATTGTTTTCTCTGATACCATAATATGTTATCATATTATACATGTATGATATCATATTATAATATGATATCATATTATATTATAATAAAAGGATTCCATGAGCAGAATTTTGAATGCATAATAAGTAAATATTTTTATCTAACAGTATTTCTGGAGGAGTCCTGAACCCAAAACCATTCTTTCTAGTGAGCCATCCATTATTCACGACTTCTGGTACAGATTTCCGGAAGAGGTAGAGAAGATTGACGCGGCTTTCGAACACCCCACTGACCGCCGAATCTTTTTCTTCTCAGGTAGCTTATTTATTTTCTTCTTATAAATATCTTTAAAGTATTTCAGTGTCGGAGCTACAAAGAAAAATATTGTAAAAAATATCCTACAATTCCTTCATTTGCACAAAAAATGATTTTTTTTTTAATTTACCAGCATTTTTGTATAAATTTGATGGAAAAGTTATCATGTCAAATAAATGTTTTGAATTATTTCATTTATTGAGGTGTTGTTTGTAAACAGAACACATCATTAAAGAATGCCTCATTATTTGATCTACTTAGGAAAGAAGTACTGGATATATAATGGTAATAGTCTTGCCAATGGACACCCTACTAATGGTAAGCCAATCACAGACTTTGGAATTCCGGAAGACATTCAGAAAATTGATGCGGTGTTTGTGTGGGGCTTTAACAAAAGGATTTACCTTGTTAGTAAAGATATGTACTGGAAATTCAAGGAGTCAGACAATCAAATAGAACCCGATTATCCCCGCGACATGAGCATCTGGAAAAATGTTCCTATTCCAATTGATACTGCTTTCAAGTTCCAAGGTTTGTTCAGATAGTTAGTACTTTCTCAACATACACTTACTTTATTTTTTCAAGCTTCTGGTAAACATGCAATATTGGGTATATTCTGTAATTGCAATAAAATGTAGTAACAGTGAACACACATAATAATGAATTCGAAGATTTAAAACATACTAGTATTTCAAACATATCAGATAACAAATTACATTTCTAAAGAAACAACTGTTCATCCTCGTTGCACATTAAGTGTATTTTCTTAAGAGCTAAATTTCAAAAAAAGGTATGATAGGGTTTGAAAAGCATATGTTTTCCTATTACAGAAAACACCTATTTCTTCAAAGGAGATAAAATGTATAAGTTCTATGACATGAAGATGAGAGTACAAGTAAATTGGCCGAAACCAATTGAAGAGTTCCTGGGATGTGGAGAACGATTTAGTTTACGTAAAAACAATGCAAAGAATTCCCCCGAGAAGATTGCTCAGTTTCAAAACAGTAGTTCTTCAAGCCACACAAGTTTTACAGGACTTTCTATACTTGTAATTATACATGCTATATATTTATGTATATGTTCTAGGCATATATGACCTGTTCTGATATCATTGTTTGAATGATCTGACCAAAGGTACCTGTAACTTAACACCTGTAATACCAGGTGATCATTTGAAATGTCCTGTTTTCCTAAAAATATCAATCAAAAGTAATGTATGAAGAATAAGATCCTTGGCTTAAATTAAGCTTTATACTGGACCAAAACTGAAATCAGACAGCAAACAAAAAACAATAGTATTAGGATCATCTTATTTAGGAAAAATGAGGTCTGTTCTATAGTCGTGAGCTTGCTTTTATATGTATAGAGCTGATGGGAAGGGATGATATCCAGAGGATAAAGTAGAGGTTGATGACTATATTTAACATTGGGGGAAGCAATGACACATGATCTAAAAGTAAATCCTCCATCAGAATTGGTGCATAATATATTTTTTTTCATGTCACTAAGGATACACATTATATCCAAGAGATTTTTATTTGGTACTTTTTATTACCTCAAGCTCAACAATGAGATCAAAGTGAACAACAACAAAAATTTACGAATATCTTGTAGTATTTTGCCACCTAGGCACTGCAAATTCAAATTGGTTAAATAACTTCCACTCACAACTTTATTTGCTATCAGGGACTCCTAAGCATGTTAAGGGGAGGGTTAATTGTTGTAGTAGCAATTTAAGAGGGAAGATGTTTCTGTGTATAAATTTATGTATTTACACATCAGGTGTTTTATTTTAGCCCAGGTGATCAATGGCTGAGTATCAGTCAGTACATGTTAAGCCTCATTGTGATCAAACTATCACGGTTGTGACTCCTGTCTCTGTATGCCTTATGTGTTTTTGCTATATCATATTGTTATGTTTTACATGTAAAAAAAAAAATCCTTCTCTCAGTGTAATGAGATTTCATGTGTTTTATTTATTTGAGTTTTTACATGTAATGATAACCCTGTGATATGAGAGTGTGTAAAAGTGTCTCTTCATTTTTTTGCCAGGATTCAGTTCCTTATATTTTGTATAGGAAATACCTTGAGATTCTTGCCATTATCTTTTAATTGGTTCAGTAGCATAATAGTTTTTTCAGTGTTCATTTGTTTTATTATTTTTTTTTAGCTTAATTTAGCACTGACGTAACAAGAATTCACATTCACTGCTTGAAAAAATATACGTCTGGCACTAGTGCCAAAAAAGTGTGCACATCTCAGAAAGAACATAAATAAAAATACATTTGAGATTGCCTTGCATCTCTTGATGAAGCATACATAATTTTGCAGCCTTCTTATTTCTGATAACAACAAAAAAAATTTCACATAAATTCATGTGTAAATTTCAGTATCTTTACCCTGGTTCCTAGGGTTGTCATTAACTTAGTTAAATGCAGTAGCCTACAATTTTCCTGTTAAAATTAACTTCTTTAACACTTAAAATACATAAAAAGAGAAAGTAATGTATCTATTTATTCACTTCTAAATGCAAAGACATCCTTTTAACACCTCAGTCTGTAATTACTGTAGTTATCATAGATAGGTCTCTAGTGTAATTACCCCCTCAGTCATTTGGATCCCAGATCTAAGAAATCCATTGTCACATTCACACTATGATTTACTACCATATAATGATATTTAGCTTAGAATCATGAGTTTTGATGCTTTATTATAATACTCATATTCCCTTATTTATTTTTATACTACATATACATATTATAAATTCACTCATTGATTAGTGAATTAAGAGTTATCAGTTCCTATAATACTCATCAGTCACGAAATAGTGCTTCTGTAATAAGCTCTAGTTAGTGTAGAGTTTGTACTGTATTTTATCCATTCTTAAAACATATACTGCATTTTGTAAAATATTTATATATATATAAAAAAGAAAAACGAATTTTATGAAACCAGTGACATATTATAGTTAAAAATATAAGTGCATGCATTATTAAATTACTGTAGATTATTTCTTAAGCCTTCTCAACAAATTATTTTTGATGTTATGTCATTTCCTCTGAACTGAGTAATAATGTAGAGGATAAAGTGTGTCCTTCACATGAAAATTGTCTTGCTTTGTGTTCAATGCCCTAGTCATAATCAGTTTCCATTTAAATTGTACTGACACAGTTTTAGGGGTTCTAAGTGAGAACATGGTGCTGATGAATTTTTATAGTGCAATGACAAACTTCCAGTTTACAAGTAAAGCTATAAATGTAACACTCATAGTACACTTTAAACAATGTTATCTTTATTGTGTTTAATGTCAGTGTCTTGCAGATGCATAAAAACAGTTGTGTCCCAAATCTGATACTCTCAATTAATCAGAGCAATTGCCAATCAAGACCATTAGTTTACACATCATTTTACATCTCGATTTGAAACATGTCAAGTTCATTTGCATGTGTTAGTCTTTAAAACAAAATCTGTCTTAATTACAAAATTGATGTCCACTGCATTATCCAATATACCAAAATGTTACAGAAAATGCTATTGTTTCATTATAAATTTTGCCTATTTATTTCTTATCAATGTCACAGTAGCTCTTGTGACACAGTTTTTAAGCACAAGTTGTATTTTATTTATGATGCTAATAAATTTTAAAGCTTCTATGTTGTTTATTTCATACGTTAAAAGAATGTTGTGAAATACAAGAAGACATGGTTACCTACAGGTGGAGATTAAATACAATACCGATGCAGAGGCACTCAAAATTTTATTGTAATAATTACAGGTAGTAGGAGCTCTTTAAAGTTTTGATAAAACTTAATATATCGTCAAGTGATTGTGCATCAATGTATATAGTTTACACATGATGAATCTACACAAATGATTTCATTATGACGAACAGTGTTTGCACAATGACCATATGCACTGCACTGATTCAGTACATTTAGCCTACTGTACAATTTGACCTCATCGTCTATATAATAATATTATCAATTGAAAGACATTATTCCTTTATTTTTCTGTAATACAAGATTATTGTGTAATGTGTTATAGTCATATTTTGTTGATAAGAGAGATGTGTTTGTACAGCATATCACAATTCAGCCCTTTTGCATTGTCAAGGTCACAGACTCTACTTTTCCTGTTATGTTAACTAGATTGGTACTCCTTAAGTAGACTTCCTGCTATCACTAGTCTCTGAATCTCACTTGTTCCCTCGTAAATTTCTGTGATCCTGGCATCTCGGTAATGTCTCTCAGCAGGCATGTCTGTCACATAACCCATACCTCCCAAAATCTGGATGGCCTGCAAAATCATGCAAAAACACTGTTAATACACACAGTGCAGCCACTCATTACTTTGAGATCATATTTCAGAAGCAGAGTCTCTACTTGCTGGAAAAATGAGATTATACAACCACTTAACAATACGTAATTGGTTCTTTTCTCTTTTTCACATTTTGGACAATGATAACACATCAAATGTTTATCTTAAGAACTCAGGCAGTTTATTTCTTCTTACTCCACTGTCAACATGTCTAAAATTTATGGTGTTTTTTTTTTTTATTTTCAGGGCTTTTCTTCACCATTTGAACTGATTACATGTAACTTGTAGCATGATCATTTATACTTGGAATCATTTTATCTGCCCAGGCTACTAGATCATGAAACTGTCTGAAGCCAGCTCCAGGCTGCAACATGCAGCCATTATGAAATACTTGAAAATTATTTGGCATATCTTTGCATGAGGCATGTTCATAATTGCAAGACCTAGATCAATTAACCAGGAACAAACATATTCATTACAAAACTTTATATAGAAAACATCAAAGAACTGACAGGAAAACTACATCAAAATACACAAGTACTTTCATCAGATTTTGACTGGTTCACATGGTATGAGTCATCCATATTCTGTAAACTTTCTACTGCAATTTGATTTGAAACTCAATCGGACTTTTGCAGACATTACATGATATTAATCCACCTAAATACCCCTGGTACAGTAATGATAACTTAAAATCAATAACATTGACGAGTCTGGCTTTTTCCATTTCCTGTAGGAACACATTTAATGATGACTATTCCTCTAGATACGGCTACATCAGTCATCACAGACCCTCAAAGGAGGGCTTATTGATATATGGTTCTGGATACAATTCAAAAGAGTTTAATAATAAAAGCTCAATGGTAAAATTTTTAAACAGCATCTGTTCCTTGTATAGATCATCTGTTCTTTCCAATTCCAATCACTTCGGATGTGATTTGCACATACATCAAATATACATTATATTATGTTGTGTATATACCTGTACATCAAATTTTTTTTTTAAATAGTAGTGCAAATGACAAAAATACTTGGAAATTAAAAAGAGAAATTCTGAATGGAGGGGGAAAAGCACTAAATGGGAAACAGATTTTTATGAATGTAAAACATACTAGTAACATTTGTATAATTATTGCCACATACAAGATGATGTTATTAACAATGAGGGAAACTACTTACCCTAATTATATATACTTGTAGAATTATAGTCATTAAAACCTAAGTGCTCAACAAACAAGCTAATTCTCTACAGCTGCCGGTGAGTCACTTAATTAAAACCCTGAATTATGGGTTCTAGTAAAGAGTTTAGAAGTAGGATAGGACAAGTCAGTCATATAATAGTAAATATCCTTATATGGGTGATTCATAAAAGGAAACATACAAAAGAAAACTAAAAATTTGTACCAGAGGTATGAGTGTGGAGTAATGATAAATAAATTGCCACATAAGCTATATCACAGAACATGAGTATAAATGAATTATTGATTGGCACGGCAAGTATTGTAGAAACTTAAAGCTTTCACTAAAGACCACTGAAAAAAATCTTTGAAAGATCTTCAAATGTCCAAAATTATTCTTACTTTTTGTCAAAATATTTTTTAAGAAAATTACATCTCCTAAGTTAAACTTATCAATTAAGGCCATCTTTACAATGCATGCATTAAGTACACTACACAAAATGGCACCATGCTGCCACAAAATCAATACAATCTTTCCTCTGTCCATCTTATACCTCTATAGGAAGTACAAGTTTCTGAGTCAAACATAACATTTTACATGGTGTTCACATTTATTTTCTCATCTAAAGATACTAGCATAACTGAAACTGACAATGGCCTTAAAATTTTGACCTCAATAAGTCTCTTCCTCTAGTACATGTACCTACACATAATAAATAATTACAAGTTGAATGGTAAACTTTTTTTGGGTGACCTAAATATCAGAATTAATGACAAGGATTCAGACCATACCTGCTTTATCACTGAATTATTTTTTTGTTTGACTATCAACTTATTTCTCAGAAACATACATAGATCCATGGGCCACAATGCTCACCTGAGTCATCTTGGCCCTGCTATTTTTCAAAAAAAAAAAAAAAAAAATATAAGATTTATTTGCTCCCTATTCCCCAACATACCCTTAAAAGGTTATGATATAACCCACTGGGATGCTTCAATATTGATATGATTATCATGGCTCTGCTGTTCCCAGTGGATAAGATTTTTTTTCATGCTTTTTTCCAACATACAAAACTACACATGCATTATGAAAAATTTGATAAAAATTTTTAGCTTAGTGTCCATAATTAATAAAAAAAAAAAAAAAGTTCATACAGGTTCCATATCATTATAATTTAGTGTGGCTCTGCTACTCTTGAAAAGATCTGTTTTCATAAAATCCCTTGTAAAACTCTAACATCCTATTGTTGCCCCCACCCTAAACCAGAGGGCCATGATATGATAAAACTTGAGTATTCACTACCTGACGATATTTGCATTTTAATATGAGTAATCATGACCCTGCTGATCTTGAGAAGAAGACCTTTTAAACAAGAGACCCATGGGCCACAATGCTCACCTGAGTATCTTTGGCCCTGCTGTTCTTCACCAGATTTTCTCCCTTGTAATAAGTAATAATACCCCAGGATGCTTCCATATAAGTTTCAGCTTTTCTGGCTCAGTGGTTCTTGAGAAAAAGATTTTTAGAGATTTTTCCTATATATTTCAATGTAAAACTTTGATTCCCCATTGTGGCCCCACCCTACCCCCGGGGATCATGGTTTGAACAATTTAGAATCTACACTATCCCAGGATGCTTCCATACAAGTTTCAGCTTTTCTGACCCAGTGGGTCTTGAAAAGGTTTTTTAATGACCCCACCATATTTTTGTCTTTTCTTGATTATCTTCCCAAGGGGGCTTGGCCCTCTATTTTAACAATTTAAACTCTCCTTCACCCAAGGATGCTTTGTACCAACTTTGATTAAAATAGGCCCAATGGTTCTTGAGAAGAAGTTGAAAATGTGAAAAGTTTACAGATGGACAGGTGGACAGCTAGACAGATGGACAAACGATGGACAATAGGTGATCACAAAAGCTCACTTGAGCTTTCAGCTAAGGTGAGCTAAAAATGTTTTCTATATATTCATACATAAACCTTTCATCTCCTTTCTTGGCCCCACTCTACCCCTGGGGAACATGATTTGAACAAATTTGAAGCTACATTACCTCAGAATGCTTCCATATTAATATGATTATTTATGGCCCTGCAGTAACCTTTAGAAAAACCAGAAGTCTCTGATGAGACTGTAGCTCTACTGGTCTGTTTGTATAACAAAAGAAAAGTAGCACTTGGATTTGACACATTGCAACATGCAACAATAAATAGAATTATGTATCTTAATGTAGTCTACTTTTGTGACAAGTTATATTGAAATCAAATGAAAACTAGGAGTAGTAGCGTTTTGAAAGTATTTCACGGAAATTTCTATTTTTAGTAACCATGACAACACCATTCACCCAAATAAAAAAAAAACAGAAATACATATTATGTATCATAGTGTATTCTAACTGTGTGCCAAATTAGATTGAAATCAGACCAAAATTGTAGGAGGAGTAACGTTTTAAAGGAATTTCAAAGAGATTTCTATTTTAAGTAACCATGGCAACACTGTTCATCGAATTCAAAAACCAATGCAATAAATTATGTAACTTAGTATAGTCTTCTTGTATGCCTAATTATATTAGAAGCAGACTAAAACTGTAGCAGGAGTAGCGTTTTAAAGAAATTTCACAGAAATTTCTATTTTTAGTAACCATGGCAACACCGTCCATCAAAATCAAAAACCGATGCACTAAATTATGTATCTTAGTGTAGTCTACCTCTGTGCCAAGTTATATTGAAATCGGACCAAAACTGTAGGAGTAGCGTTTTAAAGGAATTTCACAGAAATTTCTATTTTTAGTAACCATGGCAACACCATCCATCGAAATCAAAAACCGATGCACTAAATTATGTATCTTAGTGTAGTCTACTTGTGTGCCAAGTTATATTGAAATCGGACCAAAACTGTAGGAGGAGTAGCGTTTTAAAGGAATTTCAAAGAAATTTCTATTTTTAGTAACCATGGCAACACCGTCCATCGAAATCAAAAACCGATGCGCTAAATTATGTATCTTAGTGTAGTCTACTTGTGTGCCAAGTTATATTGAAATCGGACCAAAACTGTAGGAGGAGTAGCGTTTTAAAGGAATTTCACAGAAATTTCTATTTTTAGTAACCATGGCAACACCGTCCATCGAAATCAAAAACTGATGCACTAAATTATGTATCTTAGTGTAGTCTACTTGTGTGCCAAGTTATATTGAAATCGGACCAAAACTGTAGGAGGAGTAGCGTTTTAAAGGAATTTCACAGAAATTTCTATTTTTAGTAACCATGGCAACACCGTCCATCGAAATCAAAAACCGATGCACTAAATTATGTATCTTAGTGTAGTCTACTTGTGTGCCAAGTTATATTGAAATCGGACCAAAACTGTAGGAGGAGTAGTGTTTTGAAAAATTGTTTACAGACAGACGGACAGACAGACAGACATACAGACGGACGACGGACACCTTACTATCGCATAAGCTCTTCTGGTCTCTGACCAGTAGAGCTAAAAATTAAGATTTTTATGCTCCCATAATATAAGATTCAGGGCATATAGTTTTTACTCTGTCTGTCTGTTTCTCTGCATAAACTTTAACCTTGCCTATAACTTTTATCTGTTGGAGCTTGGGCTTTTATTTTTCAAATGTGTATTCCTTGTGACAAGAACTTTCTTTGGGTACTAACACATTTGACCTCTTGACCTTGGAGTTTGACCCGATTTTGCAAAATTTTACCAAACTTTAATCTTGGCCATAACTTTTGAATGGTTGGTGCTAAGGCTTGAGATAAGACCTTTCCTTGGATATAAATATTTTTGACCTTAACCTTGGAGTTATACCTACTTTTGAAAAACTTTAATCTTGGCCATATGTTTTGAATGATTGAAGCTGGGGCTTTCATATTTTGTGTCTGTATTCCTTGCAGAAAAACCTTTCTTAGGCTACAAACAAATTTGACTTTTTGACCTACATTTGAAAAACATTAACTTTGGTCATAGTTTTGAATGGTTGAAGTGAGGGCTTCATATTTTGCATGTGCATCTTTGTGACAAAAACTTTCTTCAATCAGGTACCAACAATTTTTACCTCGATCTTGGATTCTGACATACTTTTGAAAAAACTTCAACCTTGTCCATAAGTTTTGAATGCTGTGCTGGGCCTTTCATATTTCACAGATGTATTCCTTGTGACCAAACTTTTTTGTAAGTACCAATATTTTTTACCTCATGACCTTGAGCTTACAGATTCACCTATTTTTGAAAAATTTTAACCTTGTCCACAGTTTCTGAATAATTGCTGCAAGGGCTTTCATACATTTTGTTTGTATATTGAACAGTGATCATTATACCTGAGTGCTAAAAATGTTTGTGTAAACTAAATTTTTGGTAAAAAATTAAGATTAATTTTCCATTTTTAAAATTCTTTTTTAGTGGTACATTAGTAGCGTTAATTCATGACGACACCAACCACCCCATGCCTGGTGATTGCACTTTAATATAAGTTTATGTACAGTACTGATCAGGCAACACTTGGTCTATCCACAGACCAAGTGCAAATCAATATGACCCCTTCTTTCAAAGGTGGCTAAAAAAACCCTTGACACTACCTTATCTATTATAAAACAATATAAGAAAAACAAGAGGAATCTAAAACAGAAATGCTTCCAATCACATTTCTATATAATGCACTATTCAAAGAAACATCTGGAAATCAGCGAAAGTAAATCTATCCGTAAAACAAGTATCATTAAACAACAAAAAATAAGTATCATAAAACAGCAACATCATAAAACAACATCATAAAACAACATCATAAAACAAGTATTAGGAAACATCTTACCTGATGACTACAGAATGTTGCAGCCTCTGAAGCTGCTAGTTTGGCCATAGCTGCTTCCTGTAAAAGATGTTGTAACCTTTAGTAACATTTACAGGCATTATGATAACTTTCCAATACCTTACTCAAATCAAAGATAACTTTTAAAAGAGTAGTTCTATAACAGTACCCTTAACAGACAGTTTAATAGTGACCTAAACACTAGATCTGATCATTTTAGCAGCTGTAACTATAAAGTTATGACTTTGCCTGTTTGTAACCTTATCAGAAGTAATGGTAATCTTTTTTATTTACATTTGCAAATATTTTTCTTAGATGAACCTATTGAAGAGGAAATATGTTCAATTCTGTATGAACTTATTAGGGGGTCAGAGGTCATGGCGTGACCGAATCACACAGCAAGACGATATCTTGTCTACATATTTCTGTCACAGTGACACTGTTTCGGAACTTCTGAGCCGTTAAAGCGATGAAAAAGATAAAATTATTGAAACATATATTTTTTTTGTTCAACAAATGATAATTATATCTTTCTTGGGTGTGAAGAATGTTTATAATTAGCCTAAAATCACGCTTACCTTTTTAACCCGAAATTCCTTTGAAGGTATGTAAACTGAAGACGATATACCACCGCTTTTGACTTCATATATAAAGAACTCATACAATAATACTAAGATTATTCTCAGTAGCGATCATTGTTTTTTCATTACAAACAGTTATTTCCTGAACTGGACGGCTTAACATCCATGTAAATATTCAAATGTTGGAGCGAGGCGAACTCTGAAGAACAAACAGCTTCTAGGTCATTGCGCGTCACAACATAGCAATACGGCGGGCCGTTTGTGTAATAAATGCAGTTCTACTCAGAATATTCGTCTCAAATGTAAATAAAAGTAATAAACAACAATGTTAAAAAGTTCACTGGGAAATGAACTTGGTTGGTACGTGATCAAATCTTCTGAGAAGCCCTTCGGGCTTCACAGGATTTGATCACGTGACCAACCAAGTTCATTTCCCAGAGAACTTTTTAACATTGTTGTTTATTTCTTAATTAATCATGCCAGATGTTAATGATAAACCCCGTACTGATGTTAAAATAATCTTATCTTTAGTTTCCTCATTCAGAAGCTGCTTTCTCTTTAAATATTTAGGTTTATAAAATCCTCACCAATGGATTCAAATATTTTACCTTACACAACATTTAAAACCAGAAGTCTCTGATGAGACTGTAGCTCTACTGGTCTGTTTGTATAACAAAAGAAAAGTAGCACTTGGATTTGAAACATTGCAACATGCAACAATAAATAGAATAATGTATCTTAATGTAGTCTACTTTTGTGACAAGTTATATTGAAATCAAATGAAAACTAGGAGTAGTAGCATTTTGAAAGTATTTCATGGAAATTTCTATTTTTAGTACCGGTAACCATGACAACACCACTCAACCAAATAAAAAAAAAACAGAAATACATATTATGTATCGTAGTGTATTCTAACTGTGTGCCAAATTAGATTGAAATCAGACCAAAATTGTAGGAGGAGTAAGATTTTAAAGGAATTTCACAGAAATTTCTATTTTAAGTAACCATGGCAACACTGTTCATCGAATTCAAAAACCAATGCAATAAATTATGTATCTTAGTATAGTCTTCTTGTATGCCTAATAATATTAGAAGCAGACTAAAACTGTAGCAGGAGTAGTGTTTTAAAGGAATTTCACAGAAATTTCTATTTTTAGTAACCATGGCAACACCATCCGACAAAATCAAAAACCGATGCACTAAATTATGTATCTTAGTGTAGTCTACTTGTGTGCCAAGTTACATTGAAATCGGACCAAAACTGTAGGAGGAGTAGCGTTTTAAAGGAATTTCACAGAAATTTCTAATTTTAGTTACCATGGCAACACCGTCCATCGAAATCAAAAACCGATGCACTAAATTATGTATCTTAGTGTAGTCTACTTGTGTGCCAAGTTACATTGAAATCGGACCAAAACTGTAGGAGGAGTAGCGTTTTAAAGAAATTTCACAGAAATTTCTATTTTTAGTAACCATGGCAACACCGTGCATCGAAATCAAAAACCGATGCACTAAATTATGTATCTTAGTGTAGTCTACTTGTGTGCCAAGTTATATTGAAATCGGACCAAAACTGTAGGAGGAGTAGCGTTTTAAAGGAATTTCACAGAAATTTCTATTTTTAGTAACCATGACAACACGGTCCATCGAAATCAAAAACCGATGCATTAAATTATGTATCTTAGTGTAGTCTACTTGTGTGCCAAGTTATATTGAAATCGGTCCAAAACTGTAGGAGGAGTAGCGTTTTAAAGGAATTTCACAGAAATTTCTATTTTTAGTAACCATGGCAACACCGTCCATTGAAATCAAAAACCGATGCACTAAATTATGTATCTTAGTGTAGTCTACTTGTGTGCCAAGTTATATTGAAATCGGTCCAAAACTGTAGGAGGAGTAGCGTTTTAAAGGAATTTCACAGAAATTTCTATTTTTAGTAACCATGACAACACGGTCCATCGAAATCAAAAACCGATGCACTAAATTATGTATTATAGTGTGGTCTACTTGTGTGCCAAGTTATATTGAAATCGGTCCAAAACTGTAGGAGGAGTAGCGTTTTAAAGGAATTTCACAGAAATTTCTATTTTTAGTAACCATGGCAACACCGTGCATCGAAATCAAAAACCGATGCACTAAATTATGTATCTTAGTAGAGTTTACTTGTGTGCCAAGTTATATTGAAATCGGACCAAAACTGTAGGAGGAGTAGCGTTTTGAAAAATTGTTTACAGACAGACGGACAGACAGACAGACAGACAGACAGACGGACGGACGACGGACACCTTACTATCGCATAAGCTCTTCTGGTCTCTGACCAGTAGAGCTAAAAATGAACTTACTTTAGAGAAAGGTTTTCCAGCATCTTTCAGAAGTGCTGCCTTGTATGTTAGGAGCCTGGAACTCTCTATCTGCAGAGCCATGTCTGCTAGCTTGGACTACGAATCAAACATAAAAGAAAAACATAACACTATCAAGTATCTGAGAAAAACATATTTTATATCTAACTATTAAACCATCTAATACTCTAGTCACATGAAAATGAACTTTTGTTAAGTTTTTGTTAAAGCAATACAAGCTTTTATTGATGCTAATTTTTTGCTTGACTCTTTATGCATTATTTAAATGGGTCTGGACAGAGTTGCATTGTTTACATTTTAAATTTCTACGCTTATTCAAAAAAATAAAACCCGTTAAATGAATTGATCTCACATGAATATTCTTAGAATACAATGACAACGACATTCTTCATTACGGTACATCATGTCAAACATCTGGTTTTGTAAACAGGGCACAAGCTCTGTTATTGTTAATGTTTATGTTTCACCAGGCATGTTCAATTTGTTAAACTCTGCACACATCACTGAGCACAGACTGACAATACTGGTGAGTTTGTTTTGCTTTCTCACATTTCTACTCTGAATTTTCTGGATTATAGTTTAAATATTTTTCATGAATACACAACAAAATTTCTACTTTTTTTTACGTATTAAGGATAAAGTTTACTTTGTGAAAGTGCAAGGATGTGTCAAACAAACGCATCCAGAAATTCGTAGTTTCAATAATTTCCAGATAAAAGAAGTTTCCTAACATTATATTTCAGTGTGAAATGCTATAGCATCTTATAAGTCATGATATTATACAGAAAATTTGAAAAAATATCAACTTCAGATTTGTGTCCAGGCCCCTTTAACACCTACCCATTAAACTAAGATAATAATAGATTTCTGATAAGAAATTCAGAATTAGAGTAACTCTACTAAATTGCATGCATGCTGTGCACTTTTCTTGTAACAACAATTGCCTATTATCTCTCTGGAACAATAACGATTAATACCGAACCTGAATGAAATGTGGATAGCCAGTTTATATAAAGATCGGGTTGGATGTAAGAAACCTTTATATTTACTTTGTTTTTGAAAATTTGATCTTTCCTCGAATGCATTTAACCCTTTAAAAAGAGTTAGAAAGAAAAAAAAAAACCCTGCAAATTTTGAAATATGCAGTTTTCTTGTGGAATTATTTGGCTTGATTTAGATCAATCTTCTCCCGACATGTGTTTACAAAACTCCGACATGCGCAATGACAACATTCTGAACTTGTGACCTCTGTGTCAGCGCATATTATGATTATGAATGGGAAATAGTGGCAGGAAGACATTAATTAAAAAAACAGTATTTTTTAATGATTTGACAGGTTTAAAATTGCTTCAGATTTGCCCGTATTCAATAAAAAAAAAAAATACAAACACAAACCTGATACAGTGATATTTTGTCTAATTTGATAGTTTTACCATCAGTTACAGCTTGTTTTAAGGTCACTTGTTTACAAGAAAAAAAAATCTACCTGAATAGTCTGCATCTTTGAAATGGGGTTTCCAAAAGCCATCCTCTTCTGAGCATAATCTATGGCACATTCAAAAGCAGCCTAAAATTAAATATACAAAACTATATGTGCTGTATGAATTTCTTTAGTACAATTGACTTTTACTATTTAATGCTGAATACAGAATTTATTTCACTAAACAGTTCTTATAATTTCTTTACAAATTCCATTTTTATATAATATTGAAGTTAAGATTTATCCGCTTTATATCACTGACTTGATCATTATTTAATCAATTTCAGTACAGTTTTAATAGCATGACTGAGCTAAAAGCAGTACATACAAACCTACCTATAAACAGTGGTAAGTCACAAATTAATCTCACCTGGGCTATCCCCAAGCCTTGGCTTGCAATACCAATTCTACCAGCATCCAGAGTTTGCTGAATTAAAAAGTAAAGATTTTTCTATAAACATAACAATCGAAAAAAAATTATTAAACGTTTCTTAAAATATAAGCAACAAAGAAGGGAAGACAACTCTTATAAAAGGAAATCTTGTACATGTACATGTACTAGCAAGTGTTTTATTACCATGGCAATTTTGAACCCAAATCCTGCTTCCCCCAGTAAATTTTCCCGTGGAATCCTGCAATCTTCAAAGATGAGGTAACATGTGGAGGTAGCTTTAATCCCTAGTTTATCCTCCTTTTTACCAAGAGAAAGTCCAGGGATGGGCTTAGGCACTAGGAAGGCACTGATTCCCTAAGAAAACATCTTAAAAACTGAAAATCTGGTTAAAGAATTTAAGGTTATTTTCATGGTAATTTTTGCACATTTCTGTAATCACAATCTGTGTGGGCAGAATATTGTCATTCTTTCAGAAATCACAAAATTGAGGCTGCAGTCCCCCTGTCAATAAAGGAACATTTATTGTTCCATGTAATTTATAATTTTTTTTCAAAAGTATTATTTTCCTTCCTTAATTCTCTATCTTGGGCTGCTGTTTGAATTGCCTCTGTGACATCAGGCAATCAGATATATTACAACACATCTAAGAATGACTTGTTTCACAAATTTATAAGATGTATAGTTGGTGGTAATCTAGAAACATGAAAATGAAAATAGAAATCCAAATAATGTCAAAAAAGCACTGCAGCTGTGCTTTAATTTGTGCTTTTAAAAAAGGACCAATAATTTTGTTGGGCAATATTTTTTCCTACCTTGTGTTTCTTATTTTTATCTGTGGTTGCAAAGACCTAAAAATGATAATAATTCTCATTAGTCATACATAAACAACATATTACTAAAATGAGAAAACGTTTTCCTTTTAAGGTTGGTTGCTCATTAGACTTCAGACAAACATTTAAAAACAATTACTCTGTATATATAAAATCAAGTTCACAGAACAAAGAAAAAAAAAGATATATTTGTGACCAATGATGCCCACATATGAAAGCTCAATGCGAAGGTTAAAGTTTCTCAAATGAAAGTCATACTCCAAGGTCAATGTCCAAAGGTGAAAAATATAGGTACCCAAATAAAGGTCTTGTCACAAAGAATATACATGTGAAATATGAAAAACTTGCACCAACAATTCACAAATTACAGTCCATGTTCAATTTTTCAAAAGTAGGTCAAACTCCAAGGCCAAGGTCATGAGGTCAAAAATGTTCATATGCAAGGAAAGGTCTTGTCACAAGGAAAACACATGTAAGATATGAAAGCCTTAACACCAACATTTAAAAAGTTATGACTAAGGTTAAAGTTTTTCAAATGTAGGTTAAACTCCAAGGTCAAATTCAAAAAGTGTAAAAAATGTTGGTCCCCAAAGAAAGGTTTTGTCACAGGTAATACACAGAAAGGTCTTGTCACAGGTACTGCACAAGTGAAATATGAGAGCCCCAGCACCAACTGTTGTGGCCAAGGTTTAAGTTTTTCAAAGGTAGGTCATACTCCCAATGTCATGAGGTCTAAAAAGCTGATAACTATGGGAAGGTCTTGTCACAAAGAATACACATGTGACATATGAAATACCTAGCACCAACTGTTCTAAAGTTATGGCCAAGGTTAATGTTTTTAACATTCACTTGCGTATCGTGAGCTTTTCAGACTTTGACCAATTTGGGCCCACCTGGAACTGGCTTAGACTTATATCACATACATTTTACAGTTTGATGAGAACTCTTTAATTGTTATCAAATTTATGCAGCTTGTCCCCTATAAATTCATGATTAAATGAAATAAACATTGTATAATAAAGTGGTATAAAAGGCCTTTCACAGCATTTCACCTACAACCAGGTTTAAAGTTACATAATGGGTCAAAATCATGTGTTTCTTTTAAGAAAGTTGTATCACAAAACAAAAGATTTATGTGAAATATGAATATAGCAAAGTTTTGGCAACTCAACTGCACTGTAAAGCAAGAAAAAAGCTGCAAAATGTAAGTACCAGAAAAACAAGTGTTGTATCTATCACTTTGTTTTTATCGTCAATGCCCACAATGTCAAGGTCACGCGTCCTTTATTTTTAGCGTGAAACTTGTAAACAACATTACATTGGAGCAAGCAGAAGTGAGAAATAAGTTCTGATCATCTTTTTTGAAGATTGTATAAAAATTCTCCGTCATCCGACATATTATATCTGTGGAATTGAAACCATGGTAAATTCTTCAATTTTCAGCGCATCCGTACAATAAAGAGGAAGAAGTGAAGCAATATTTTTGTGTTGGGTTATGCAAAGATTTTTTTTACTTTTATTTTTCTCCATTAAAGTAGATTTTTTAGGTTATGAAACCTGTAATTTTCTGAAACCTAATACTTTCAAAAGCTGAACAAAATTTGTATGTGTCATGCATAAATTCTACTTTTGTCGATTTTCGCGTTTTTCCATCACGGTGTCACTTTAAATGCAAAGTAGCTGTTACTATAAATAGATCTTTGGCGCATTGGAAATGTATTGAATTTAGGAAATCAACTTAATAAAAAAATTATGCAGAACTGCTTTTACATGTATATTATAGAAAACATTTCCGGTAAACTATTGCTCTGTTTCAGTCTATAATTTCACAAAAAAACTTTCTAAAGTATACCGGTATACAAGTTATTTCTCTTTTAATACCTCACAACCAGCATCTCTGCATATACATATATCACTATATAATCAAATCAAAATATTTTTTCATAATTTTGATATTTTCAATTTGTTTGACATTTTACAGAATTATGTTTCAAGATTTTTTCTTGACTGTTTTCAAGATATTTTTTCATCAATTGTCTAGATCACTATTGTTTCGGGAACTACTGCTGCATCTTAACTATCCACTTTTTAGGTCACCTGAGTCACTCAGGTGACCTATTGCTATCCGTTCTCGTCCGTCGGCATGCGTCGTGCGTCGTGTGTAAACATTTGAACATTTTTAGCTTCTTCTCTGAAACCGCTCAACCAATTTCAACCAAATTTGGCATATAGCATCTATGGGTGAAGGGGAACAAAAATTGTGAATTTCATGGTCCCTGCCCCCCTGGGGCCTGAGGGGTGGGGCTAAAACCACCAAAAATAATGCAATCTTTAAAATTCTTCTTCTTTACTCCAGGACATCAAGCAGTCAAACTGTTGGCATCATTGTAACAAGCATTGAGCCCTCTACCAAAATTGTGAAATTCATGGCCCCAGGGTCAGGGGTTCTGGCCCCAGGGTGGGGCTATATAGATCATATAGTGAAAGTGCATTATTCCTTTGAAAATCTTCTTCTCTGCTCCTGGGTATTAAATAAAGTAACTAAGTACATAGTTATGATGAGCAAGAGTGCCTCTTCCAAAATTGTGAAATTCATGGCCCCAGGGTCAGGGGTTCTGGTGTTAGGGTGGGGCTCTATTGATTATATAGTGAACAAGAGGCCCAAGGGCCTTAACGGTCACCTGAGTATGATAAAACAATTTCAAGGATGCATAGAGTATAAAATGAACCGAAAGGTGAAGCTTTGTTGCCCAAAAGCAAGAAAAATAGGGTGATCATGATCAACAAAATAATTGGTCTTAATATTCATTAACAGTTCATAAATTAGGTTCTAATCTGTTCCCCATTTATCACTATCACTATACAGTATACTAACAAATTATCAATGCTTCTGTACTATTTTAATCCTTTGTTGAAATCTCTTACATTGGCATCTCTTGGTCTTTGATGAATATTTAATAAGACAAGTTATTTTTGTCTCATTTTTATTTATCTACTACTTACAAGTCTATCTGATCATTAAAACTATGAAAGTACTTTTTGTATTATATAATAAAAGTTTTTGCAAAATTCTCTATTTACCTTTCAAGTACATTATTTACAGTGATAAATTATCAAAAGTAAATGGCAAAGGGGAATAACTCCTCTCAGTAGAATACAAACTAATAGAACCCTGGCCAGGACCAGAACACTTGACCAAATGGTCCAGATGTTCAAAAATCTGGTAAAAATTCCCTTCCCTATAAAAACTTTTACTCTGTTTGCCTCAGATATGCCCAGGTGCGGAGAAGATTTTTAAATAAATAATGCATTTTTACTACAGATTCACTATATTATCAATAGAGCCCGCCCCCCCCCCCCCCCCCCCCAAAAAAAAAAAACACCAGAGCTTCTGACCCTGGGACCATATGTTTGCTCATCATCACTTTGTTTATCTGCTTAACACTAAGGAGCAAACAGGATTATTTAATAGAATTAATGCATTTTCACTAAATTATCAAGAGCCCCACCCTCACACCAGCATATCTGACCCAGGGGTCATGAAATTCACTACTCTGGAAGAAGCACACTTGCTCATCATAACTATACACTTAGCTTCTTTGCTTTTTTAACCAGAAGAAGAAAAGAATATTTTCAAAGAAATTTTGCTTTTCACTTTATAATCAATAGAAGCCCCCCCCCCCCCCCCTCACCTCAAGTCATAAAATTCACAATTTTGGAAGAGGCATCCTTGTGTATCATAACAATGTACTTTAGCCTGTTTAAGCAATACCCAGGGGCAGAGAAGAAGATTTTCAAAGAAATAATTCACCTTCACTATAGGATCTATATAGCCCCGCCCTAGCACCAGAACTCCTGTCCCCGGGGCCATGAATTTCACAATTTTGGAAGAGGCATCCTTGATTATCATAACAATGTACTTAGTTTGTTTAAATAATACCCAGGTGCAGAGAAAAAGCTTTTTAAAGAATTAAAACATTTTCACTTTATAATAATCAATAGAGCCCCGCCCTAACACCAGAACCCCTGATCCAGGGGCCACGAATTTCACAATTTTGAAAGAGGCATCCTTGATTATCATAACTATGTATTTAATGTGTTTCAATAATACCCAGGAGTAGAGAAGAAGATTTTCAAAGGATTAATGCATTTTCACTATATAATCAATAGAGCCCCACCCTAATTCCAGAACCCCTGACCCAGGGGCTATGAAATTCACAATTTTGAAAGAGGCACTCTTGCTCATCATAACTATGTACTTAGTTACTGAATTTAATACCCAGGAGCAGAGAAGAAGATTTTCAAAGGATTAATGCATTTTCACTATATAATCAATAGAGCCCCACCCTAACACCAGAACCCCTGACCCAGGGGCCATGAATTTCACAATTTTGGTAGAGGTACTCTTACTCATCATTACTATATACTTAGTTAGTTTATTTAATACCCAGGAGCAGAGAAGAAGATTTTCAATGAATTAATGCATTTTCACTATATAATCAATAGAGCCCTGCCCTAACACCAGAACCCCTGCCCCTGGGTCCATGAATTTCACAATTTTGAAAGAGGCACTCTTACTCATTATAACTATATACTTAGTTAGTTTATTTGATACCCAGGAGCAGAGAAGAAGATTTTAAATGAATTAATGCCTTTTCACTATATAATCAATAGAGCCCCACCCTAACACCAGAACCCCTGCCCCTGGGGCCATGAATTTCACAATTTTGGTAGAGGTACTCTTACTCATCATTACTTTATACTTAGTTAGTTTATTTAATACCCAGGAGCAGAGAAGAAGATTTCCAAAGAACTAATGCATTTTCACTATATAATCAATAGAGCCCCGCCCTAACACCAGAACCCCTGCCCCTGGGGCCATGAATTTCACAATTTTGGAAGAGTCACTCTTACTCATCATAACTATATACTTAGTTAGTTTATTTAATACCCAGGAGCAGAGAAGAAGATTTTCAAAGAAATAATGCACTTTCACTATATGATCTATATAGCCCCGC